AATTAGTCTCCTTATAAAAAATTATTTTCTCTCTCTAAAAATTATTTTTTCTCCTCTAAAATTATTTATTTCACATTATAACTAAATTAAAATTATTAAAAAAGGCTTTAATGTTTCTACGGTGAATGTAGATAAGTTATCTATATTCACTCCCAAAATAATATCGTTTTGGGTTAAAAATAAAAAATTATAATGAGATAGACTATTATAATCTTGAAATAAATTATAATTATAAAAATACCTTGATTCCGTCCCAAAACAACGTCGTTTTGGGTTCAATGTACATAACTTATCTATATTGACTGCAGAAAAAATGAACCCATTAAAAAAAATCACATATATATAAATAATTATTTATTTCAAAATAATGCAATTGGAAACAATAAAAAATAGTTTCATCAAATAATTTTGATATAGAGAGAAAATCAAAAAATTTGAGAAAGGGAGTAAGCGCTTATAAGTAATTTATTATATTTTTCCTATTAGACCCTCTAAATTGGGAAAGATATTATAGGATTTTACAAAAATCTCATATTCACTTTCCTTTTTAATATTGACTCTCAAACACATCCTTAGGAGGCGTTTGGTCGAGGAGAAATTTTTTGAATACTAGAGAAATGTAATTATTAGAAAAATTGTTGGAAAGTGAGTTTGGTAGGAAAATGTAAAAAAAGTTGTTTGGTTGACCGAAATATTACCAAGGAAATTTATTTAAATTTGCAAAATCTATGTTCGGGAGAAACTTCGCACCTGTTTTTTCACTTCTCCAGTTATCTCAAAATACCACATCTCAAGTGGTATTCTGTAACAGTGAATTTCATCCAAAAATCAACACAAAAGTCAATTCTCCATCTATCCTATTTGCCTAGTATTTTTTTAAAAAACTTGAACCAAACGTGGTATTTTTCAATATCCACTTACATTTTCTCATCAATCCCAAAATAAATCTTCTACCAAACACTACCTTAGGGAATATTAAATGGGGAGGGTTCTTTTGACTCTAAGTAAGACTTTTAAGTCTTACTCTTTATCGTAGTCATTGATGGACGGAAATCAACAGTTGTAATTTGTAATATAATTAATAATTAATATAACTTCTTAAATTACAACCGTTGGATGGACAAAAATCAAGGGTTGAGTCTTACTCTGAAGACAAATAATCTCTCTTCATATTAAATTATATATTCTTGAAGCTCTCTTATGCATAAGGTTTTTTTTTTTCAAATATAAATTTAATTTCTGTCACCTCAAAGTTTATCTTGTTTGTACTTTTCGGATATTTGTTGTCTAGCATCGTGTGTTTAGTTTTATATTGCTTTGCTATATACACTTATTTATGTAGATTTGCATTTATAGAGATCCAATGCATAAAACCAAGAATACTGTCAACTATGTCAAAGAAACTCCTGGTGCTCCGCAGATTAAATGTTAAAGTTGGCCTCACAAAATCTACATTATACAATGTAGTTCCCTTAATTGAACTTTGCAGTTTTGTCTTTGTTGTTTCAGTCATATTTTAGTTCTGGATGAAAGTGATTACTCGAAACCGTACATTTAAATATTTATTCATGTTTATAAGTACTCCTCTAATAGTGAATACATTTTTAGTGTCGGAAGATTTATGAGGGATAGGATCATAGGAGACTACGAGTAGATGAAAATTATCTGTGACTTTCTAACGTATTTAATAGCTATCTCATGTTACTGCAGATTAGAAAATTTGCGGCAACACTTACTTCCACTGGGATCTGTTCCGTATTTTGGAATTTTTTTTTTTTTAATTTCAGGATCCGGCTCCGTATCTTATGTAAATATATTTGCTGCAAGTTTTTCCATAAGTAGTGACAGAAGAAATGAGGAACTTGCTGTCACTGCTGATGGAAAAACTTGCAGCAAATATATTTACATAAGATACGGAGTCGGATCCTGAAATTAAAAAAAAAAAAATCAAGATACGGAACCGAATTTTAGTGGAAGTAAGTGTTGCTGCAAATTTTTTTGATTTGCAGAAACAGAAGAGCTATTAAAGCATTAAATATAAGGATTTGCATTTGTCCTTTAACATGACACAACAAATTTTCTTAGACACACAACATTTTGTGGGGTCCACAATTTTTTAAGAAAAAAGAAAAAAAAGAAATTACGGCACGCAAAACAAATCTCTATAACATTACACAATCACTTTTCCTACAACATAACTCTTATAAAACCCTTAGGTGGTGTTTGGTTGAAGAGATGTGAAAATTTCCCCATACAAATGAACTTGGCATTCCAAAAAGTTGTTGTTTGGTAGAGAGATTCATTGAAGTTCCCCATCTATGCTATTTGCATAGCATTTTCCTATTTAGTTGTAGAAAGCCAGCCATTGGCACTGTTTAGAATCTGAAGTTAGTGGTGGTTTTCTGGAGATAGCTGGGTAAGTTAGAAAATGAGAAAATAAAGCAAACCAAAATACCCCTTCGTAATCCTTCTCCTATTTCTTTCCACCGTCTCTACGCAACAGCAGCCACCTGCAACCACCAACAGCAGTCGCGACGGTCACCATGGACAAAGAGGTGGGCACCACCATGGCAACCCAGGGAAATTTTTCAGTTACGTTCGAAGCAACAACCCCACAGATGCTAGAACTCCACCATGTGATGCACCTGCCCATGTTCCAATTGTAAAGATGGCATGTACTAAAATATTGATATCTTCAAAAAATGAATTGCTCAACTTTGTACTTTTACTTACTGAAATTTCAATCAGTTAGCAAGAACTCTGCAATTCTATTTTTCTTTTTTTTTTCACGTTTCTCTCTAATTTACAATTATTTTTTTTATTTTCCCAAAAAATTTTAAAACAGGGATATTTTCGTAATTGTCATTTATTTTTCTATCTATATTTTACCTCAAATCAAACATAGATTTTATAAATCTTACCTAATTTTCCCGGTAAAATTTTTTCCAATCAAACAACTTTTTTTACATTTTCTTACCAAACTCACTTTCTAACTATTTTCCTATTAATTACATATCCCAAATATTCTTAAAATTTATCCTCAACCAAAAACCTTCTTAAATGTATTGCCAGTAATTGAATCACTATGTAGCAACTTTTCTTGTGCAAAAGCGTGCTACTGTGGAAGTTTCCTACGGTTATATATGTTTGACTTGTTTTTGCAGGGTTTGAATGTCTGCAGCTTTTTGCTGCATGACACATTGTTAATGTACTGAGATAATATGAGAGCCCATAATATGTTCAAAATTTTATATATATTTCCGAGAATACACATCGATAAATATTAAAAAAAAAAAAATTTACTTCTCTTCAGAAAACATGTCGGCAAAAATGTTATGTTCTTGTTGAAACGTACTTTTTGTGTGCTCCACTTCATTCAATCAAAATGAGGAGTTGTATCTTGTACCCCATTTATGTACAACATATAAGAGACAAAATAAGAACATATGTTAGGAACATCAATCAAAGTGCCACTTTTTGTAAATTTTAAATTTTAATAGATTGTCACTGGTCAAAATTCGCTACTATTAATAGAGAATTTTATCGTCAATAATTTCGTGACACATGATATTATTCATGTGCCACATAGAATACCAAGTTCCCTGTAACTGATAGCGAACTTGATCTAGTTAGCTCTTCTTGCAAAAATGTGTCATATGTCACGAAATTATTAGCGACGAAGTTTGCTATTAGTAATAGCAAACTTTGACTGTGTGTTGATAAAAATATCGTTCGCATAGCATTTGGATAAAAAATTAAAGACTTCAATGCTTTTTTATTTATTTTTCCAACAGTGTTCAATTCTTTTATTTATTTATTTGGTAGGCCACATGTAAGCCTTAATCCGTAGTTGAGATTGGTGATATTTTCTAGCCTTAAAAAGGGGCTTGTCTTGTTCTAAACTAAACATTTAATTACCAAAAAAAAATTGAATAAGCCGGGGAAGAAATATGCCAATTTTGCTTTGTGTTAGAAGGTGGTTAACAACTGTTTGGTTTCCCGTTTAAAACCCAAAAATGTAGTTGGGTTGGGACAAAAAGCTACAAGAGATATAGGTGTTTGTCCAAAACCATGCTTTGGGATTTTTCTAGAAGGAAAATCAAACATGCCATATAGTTGAAGTGTCAAATTCATGGTTTATAATGTGCATCTATCTGTATATTGCTGTCAAAAAAAGCTTCGACAGATCAATAGGCTTGAAATCAAAAATTCCTGAATCGTTAAACTGATCTCTCAAAAAAAAGCATTGGAGTTGATAGATATCCTTGTATGTTATTAGTGTATACCGTTCTTGAATTTTGATCAAATGTGTCTTTTTATTGGAATGACAAGGACACTAGAAGATGCTAAATCTTGAGGCATATATCACTAAGTCCAGTGATTTCTATGATTGAACAGTGTTTAGTGCTTTCCTTGCCATGGAGGAGAGAGACCTGTGATGAAGGGAGAAAAACACGAAAAATGGATAATTAATGAATTATCATACCCTAATAACCTTGGATATCTTTCTTTTCAACATCTCCATTTAATGCCAATTAAAGAAAACTATTATTACTATTATGTGGTAATAAAAAAGGTCACAATTTTCAGTTCTTTTAATGGAGGATAGATGCTGCTACAAGACAAAACAGTGTCCTAGATTATCGCCAAAAGGAAGTTGAAAATAAACGTAAAATAAAATGGTCAAGCCAAAGCAAAGTAATAATAATAATATTATTATATAGATATATTAAGGAAAAAATAAATCTTAGGTTGTAGGAAAATTCTAATCTCATGTTATAGATACATTAAATATGAGACTCACCAATTTAAAAAAAAAATTAAAATTAAAAAATGAATGACACACCTTTTTACGGTGTGTATAAGAAAAACAAACACCGTATATTAAATATCACATGTTAGAAATTAAGGAAAAAGCTTAGCACAAATCTCTGCGACAAAAAAATTACAAAACAGTCAATTGCAATGAACCATGAAACGCATTGCATCATAAAAGTTACTGTAACAAAAACTCAGGCGAAGCGTCATATTCACTCTCTCCTTCACAACAAAGGGTGGATCGCACACACATGCAAATCCACACCCATCTTCGGCTTAGGGTTCCTCTTTTCAATAATTCACATTCCCGACAACACCCATTTTTTTGTTTCGTATGGTGAGAGGCAGAAGGGAAAGGGACATGGACTCGTTCACCATCAGTGGCACCGACAAGATCGTAAAAGGTAACGCCAACAACCCCTTCTTTCATTCACCTACTCAGTTGCGTTTTTGCGTTAAAAATAGTTCCTTTTCTTGTTTTCGTGGAGGCCCATGGTGATGATTGGTGATGTTTTGAGACATCCCCATATGGGGTTGTTTTGTTTTGTTGTTGTTTTTTTTTTTGTTTTTTTTTCAGTTGGAGACTGTGTTCTGTTGAGGCCATCAGAAGACTCGAATTCACCCTACGTGGCGCTTGTGGATAGCATCTGGGATGACAACAGAAACAACGTGAATGTTAAGGTGAGATGGTATTATAGGCCTGAAGAATCAATTGGGGGTCGAAGGCAGTTCCATGGTGCCAAGGAACTGTTCCTATCTGACCATTATGATATACAGAGTGCTCACACCATTGAAGGAAAGTGTGTCGTTCACTCCTTTAAGGACTATACTAGGCTGGAGAATGTAGGTGCTGAGGATTACTATTGTAGATTTGAGTACGCTGCTGCTACTGGGGCTTTCACACCTGACCGTGTTGCTGTGTGAGTTACCTTTCTTTCTTTCTTTCTTTCTTTCTTTTTTTTTTTTTTTTTTTTTTCTTTTTTTGGGTTTTTTTATGTTGGAAATGGTGTTTTTGAATTCTAGAATTAATGGGGTTTTTATTTTATCTTTTTTAATTTTTTTTGGTTTGTTTTTTTTAAGGTATTGCAATTGCGAAATGCCTTATAATCCGGATGACCTCATGATGCAATGTGAGGAGTGCACGGATTGGTAAATATCAGTGTATTCTGCTTTACTTTGTTTACTATTATTTCATTTCGATTTGATTTATATAAATGTATAATTTGAGCTTTAGATATGTTATTTACTTGGTTGAAGTTATTATATAATCCCATGCAGAATGAACCTAAAGGATTGTGTGAGTTGTAAGGTCAACATTGGTCCTAAAATGATGAGGGAAATGGTTAAGTCAATAGGAAGACTATCAGAAGCTCGGGGAAGATGTTTCACACAGTCCAATAGTTTTAATATACTCTTTAATTTCGGGTTATTGCAACTCTGTGTTGGCCTATGCAAGCTTTTAGCATGTTAGTCTTGAGAAAACATTTGACTTGTAAAACCATTCCCTATTAAATCCTCATCAGTGAGGGTAGGGATTACATAATTCCTTGTATGTCACCTTATCCTTACATATTTGCAAAGAGGTTATTTTTCGGATTCGAACTTGTGATCATTCAATCACAAAGAAGCGGTTTTACCACTTCTCAGCTTGCAGCATTTGACTTGTACAGTAAAAAAGAAAAAGAAAAAAAGATGAAAAGAATAGAAAAGACAGAATATATTAAGGATTGCCCATTTACTAGTGAGCTGCTGATGTGTGTCTATATGTGCCTTTTGTTTGCACTTGCCCCATATCATGTCTTTGGGTTCTGCTCTGTTGTTTCTTTTCTCCAATATATATGTCAGCCAACATAAGTGGAATGATGCTGAGACTTATTCCTTCTGCTGATTGGCTTGATATTAGTGGTGAAATCATGCTTAGATATGTTTTTTCACAACCTAGCAAGGTTGGGGATGCAAATTTTAGTACGTTATTGGCATCACTTTTCTATTAATTGTGAAAGAGTGTTAAATCAAAGTAGTATTTGAGTGTTATACTATTATGGTTTTCTATATATGCTGTTGTCCCTATATGTTTTATGAAACACATTTCAATCTTTGTAGGTTTCTTGTAGGTACCATCCAGCTTGTGTTGGCATGACTACAGAGGAATCAAAGAAACTAGAACTTTTTATTTGTGTTGAATGCTTAACTTATGCTGCTATGAAGAAACCCCAAGCTACGTCTTCTGCATCACCAGGACCTGACGTCAAGGTGACTTCCTGCATCCAGTACCAAATATTTACACCTTTGCTTTGTTCCTATTATGTATTTTTCCCACCATATGACTGAGACATTAAATTAATTGGTTCCTGCACTGGCAAAGTTATGCAAAGGGATATGGGGACACATTGCTGAGGAAGGGATGGGTAATTCAACGTTTGGTGTGGCATTTAGAGTTTGATTGAAACAAAAAAAAAAAAGAATTTTTCATGAAAAATTGTACCCTTAGTGCAGCTAGTTTAGAAATTGGCCATAGATTGCAGGTAGTTTTTTTCACCAGTTAGCATGGATTGCTTCTTGTTTAGTAAACAAAAAGTTCTAGGCGTTTGTTATTTCAGGAACCATGTAGTTGCAAAGCCAAAAATATATTGGTGTTTTTGATTGAGACACATGAAAAAGTGCCAGGCATGTATGCTAATTAGTATCATGTGCCAACATGTGCACTTCTCCCGTTTTGATACATATGTATGCCTTTACTTTTAAATGTACTTTTCCTATTTGAAATTGTTTTACTCTTGTCTGACACCAATGCTAATGTGAATGAACAATTGTTTTGTTTGACAATAGATTTATCAATGATGTTTATTCTTATGGCCTTTGCATAATTAATATTTCTTATGATTAGCAAACCTATTCACTTTGGTTCGTGCTTTTCTTTGGCTAAGTTAATCTGAATACTTTATTCCTATGTTTTTCCATTATTTATAACTCGCTTCTGCATATTCTTAAAGAGTTGTGTTAATATAACTCGTGTTCACAGTGAACCCTATATGTAGCAACATATCCTCATTTCGAAAGATAATTTTAAATTATAAGATGTATATTATGAAATTTGGTGGTGGTGGTTTTGTTGCTGTGCGCATAGGGTTCATCTTAAATCTATGGGTGATCTTATTGCCATACACTATAGAAGTTTGCTCTCTGTCTCCATCTGTGTGTGTCTGTGAATGAGAAATATGATTTTACTTGTTTAAAATAAATGTATGCATAAAAGTCATTAAGCTTGGTCTTCCTCTTGTTTAGTGCATCGTCTGCATATGGCTATGCTGAATTTCGAGTGATAATGGAATCGATTAAGAGCTTATAGTAGAGTCTTTTGTTTCTTAAGGACAAAGTCTCTACTCCTCAATTTGTTTGAGTTTTATATTTCTTGTACATTTTACGGTATAAACTATGGGAAAAACATTTGTCATTGTAAAGGACACAACTTTATATCATTTTAAGTTAAATGAACGTGTTTTGGTGTATATTTGTTGGTTTTTAAGTGCTTTCTCGTTTCTCTCCTCCTAATTTTATGGAGGAGAGAGAATGCAAAAAGCCAACAAATATATACTAAAACATTGTTGTTTCATTTAATAAGATACAAAGTTGTGTCCTCTAAAATGACAAACTTTTTTCCTTAAAATATTGAGGCATTTAATAAAATCTTATTCCCTATAGGTGACCAATTTGTGTAGTGTTAGAACATGAATTGTCCTGGATTTCCATCTTTGTTAATCTGTACTGCCAGGGTACTTAGTGTGTTATGGTTAATCATTATGAGAACCAACTAGAAAATCTTACATTGTCTAGGTCAGAAAAAATTGATTGGCAACGGTGTAGCTTGAATTTCAATCTATCGAGAGGTGATTCATTGCATAGCTCATGTTTGGTATTTGATTTTCGCTTATGGTATTATGAACATTCAAATCTTGAATTTGCAGGCGGAGCGCAAGCGGCGGGAGAGACGACCATAATGCAAGAATTGACTCATGCTGAATTTGGCTGCCTCTATGGTGCGTTGTATAGCTTCTTCTCGAGGCTATAAACATTTTATGTATTTGACTCAAGGCTATGCATGTAAGCGTTTTAGGTTTGTTAAAAGACATTTATCTGTTTACCGTTGTCCATAAAGAGACAACACTGATCCAAGTGTTTATTCCTGAGATGACATCAAACCTTAAACACTGAAGTACAAAGCAATTGTCACTTGAGTATTTGGTGTTGAGATTGAATTTATATAATAAATATAAATTATGCCTAATAGGCATTTTGAGACTCGATCATTAGGAATGGAACTCTTCCATTAAATTTCAAAAATAAAATAAAATTTGGAAGCAATTTGTAAGCTCGGAGAAAAGAAACAAAGATGTAGGTGAAAACGAAGAAGGAGACGATAACTGAAGACGGAATTGAGATTAAAAGTGTCTTTTTTTACTAAATCATGATAGCCAAGTTGGTGCATAGGAGTTTTGAGCAGTTGAAGATGAGAGTATATATTTGATTCTTTTTAGTAACATTTTTTAGAGTGGTTTAAAGCAGTGTTTTACAAATCGACTCGGACCGACTGGGTCGACCCTGGTCTCGGTAATCTGATAGGTTTTTCGATCCGATCGGTTATTTGGACCGCTTTTGTGGTCAATCCGGTTTGGATCGGTTGAACCGATGACTCGGCGACCCGGTTGACCTGGGTTAGACCGATTGATCCTCTTTCTTTTTTCTTTGTTGATGAAAACTCTTGAATTAAATCATATTCATATTTTATAGTAAGTATGATTAAAAAGTAAGGTGTAAATAATAAAGTATTTTGGATTAGTGCAGTTCGTTTATGTAATTTAGTTGCATCTTACAATGATCTTATGAAGTTAAGTGGTGATAAACACTAATGGACTCATGATCTCATTTCAACGGTAACACTTTCTTCTTAGTGTATATTTCATGCATACTATTGTTATCATGATTTAATTTATTCGTATCATGTCAAGCACAGAAGGTGCATTTAGTTTACATTACAATTTTAATCCAATATTAGGATATGGTCTAGAGCTAGAAGTTTAGAAGTATATAATATTTGTTATCATTGAGAACCAATTTATTTTTTGAAACTCATTGATAGTTTTCTTATGTGAATTTTTAATATAAGTAATATGTTTATATTTTTTAATATGTGAACAGCAAATCCGGTTCAACCCGATTGAACCAGTGACTCAGTGACCCAGTACCTTGACCGAGTCGATGATCAGTCCGAGTTTTAAAACACTGGTTTAAAGTCTTAATTCTGAATTTTTCTCAAATAAAATTAATTTTCATGAAGGATACATATGATTTATTAAATGGGAAGGATATTGTAACAACTAATTAGTGTTATTATCAATGTTACTACCAATTAATTTTACCATTATATCAATTATGTTGATCAAACGGTTATATTTATTTTCATCTTTGTATGGTTATGATTCCCTATATTTAATACATTATATTTATTTTCACCTTTGTATCGTTATGATTCCCCAAATCATAACCATACAAAGATATAAATAAATATAACTGTTGGATCAATATAATCAATCTAACGGTGAAATTGATTAGTAATAACATTGATAGTAACACTAATTGATTATTATAATATCTTATCCCCAAAACATATGGGTCTTTTCAACAAGAGCCACTTTAATAGGCCGATAACTTAATCTAATTACAATGGAAAATAGATAAATAACTAATTAAAATATAAAAAAAATCTACCTGGTCCTATTACATGATTTAACTAGGGGTGGCAATATAGGTATTGACCCGCGGGTTGACCCGTGACCCGACCCGCCAAATCACGTGTCGTGTCAACCCGCGGGTCAGGGCGGGTCGTGTCAGGGTTGTGTAAATGTGACCCGTTTATTTTCGTGTCGGGTCACGTGTCAACCCGCGGGTTTGCGTGTCAACCCGCACAGTGTCATTTTTTTATTTTTTTATTAAATATTTTATTATATTATTATTTTTATTTATATATTGATATATATAGTCATTGTTTAGTATAGAAAAGAATAAAAGGAACTAAAAATCTCAAAAAATAGAAGCTAATCTTTTTTTTTTATTTTTTATTGTTTTTAATTTATTTATTTTTCAAAAAATCCAACTTTTTTTTAAATTTTAAATTTTGCGGGTCGTGTCGTGTCGACCCGTGACCCACAACGGGTCGTGTCAGGGTTTGTGTTTTACGACCCATTTACAAAACGGGTCGTGTCAGGGTCGTGTCAAATAGTGTACGGGTCAAAAACGTGTCGTGTCGGGTTGACCCGTATTGCCACCCCTAGATTTAACCCAACACACAATCGGATTAATAATAAGTCTTCTTGGTACTCCTCTTCTTGTTGGGCCTTATTGGATGGGTTTGTTGGGCTGGAGGTGGGATTATCACACCCACAAATCACACTACCCATGAGGACAATCCTCGTCCTCGAGGATCGCGCCTTGCTACTGACCTGGACCAATCAGAGTGGTAGATGCAGATTGCGCATTGGTAGTCGTTGGATGCGACGGAGAAAGAACCAATCTATTGCCTGAACGGCTGGATGTGCATTGATATCGAACGGCTGGATGTGCACTGCTGTGAAGAACCAATCTGTTGCCTGAACACATATATTCATGTAAGCTACCCGTTGGATTGGGCTGAAGCAACACATTTGGGCATCTATAGTTGGATTGGAAATGCAGGGATGTTATGGACCAATCAGAGCTTGAGTTGCGGATGACGGCCACTGCATCGTGTGATCTGCTTTGGCTTGAGGGTCGAGATTGCACAGCTTGGTTGGGCCAATTAGATTGTCGGATTGAAAATCAGAATTAATTGAAGCTTTGCTAGTCCTCGTGGACTTTTTGACCCTTTTGTCCTTCATTAATTAACTAATAATTATTTTGCTCTTTATTTAAAACTATCTACCAATTTGCCCCTCTTTAATCGATTAACTTAAATATTTATCAATTAAATGGTCAAAACTAAAAAAAATAGTTGATTTGAAGATTTAATTGATTAAATCAGGTCCACCTCAAATACCCATGTGAATTGCCTCAAGCCAGTCGTCATGGTAGTTAAAAACTGCATTTTTACAACAACAAAAAAAGTTCAATTAACTTTTTTTATGATTTTTTATGATTTTTTTTCATTATAATTTTATTTTTTATGATTTTTTATTTTTCTTCTATTTTTAGTTAAAATCTTGATTTTAATTTCCTTGTTACTAGTTAATGGAGTGATCAGACATTGGGATGTGTGTCTATCACCCATTAACAGTTGCTGCCCATTGATAATGAGACACAATTATACCTCAGAAAAAAAATTAGTGATCCCGATGCATGTAGTCCTTTCATTCAAAAAATTACACTGGGATTAAAAGTGTTTTTTCCCCTCCCCCGTACAAATTTCATAGTCAACAAAAATTTTTAATTGGCTCATCCCCACCGAGTCAGTGGTAGGACGGGATCACCAAAATTCCTCTCTTATACCTCAGCATTACTATACCTAGAGAGAGAAATGTCTATTCCATTTTCCATGTCTTTACATAAACTCATCTTTTCGTTCTCTCTTTCCTCATTCTAAATTGTGGCTTCTTTAGTAATGTGTGGTGAGGTATTGAATGATCCATCCATGGATTCCTACAGAATCTGGCTCTGCCAATTCTCATCAGACTTATATATACATTATTTTACATAACAGAATATCGAACAAATATTTGAAATACATCATATGTTGTATTACGACTCTGTGCCATTCCAGATATCATATACAAACTAACAGACATACCGAAACTAATATCCAACATATACAAATGTACAAGGCTACATATGCCTCTCAAAAAGAATATCAACTATACATATGCATGATCACCAATCATGCCTCAAAACATATACGTATACAGAAATTCATAACTAGTAATAACTACTCTAGCTCCGTCACTAGCCTCCCTGCACCGGCCTCTTGCTCTGAGAGGGCTCTCCCACTACTATTGGAGTACCTAAAATGTAAGACCCCAAACGAGATAAGATACAACCATCTCAATAAACTCAAATTTTATGGAGTAGTCTTTACCCTCAAGTTCACTTCCTGCATAAAAAGTCAAATACATAGCATATCATACATCATGTAACAAGAGACAATAATAGCAATAATTTGTATTGTGCATCCAATACGCAAGATCACTCCAATGAGTCGTACTTAAAGCTAATATCCGTATGGAACTTCCAAAAGTCTTTCCTCTTAGGACCAATCCCCAAGGGAAGTCCATATATATATGTGTGTGTGTGTGTGTGTGTGTGTGTGTGTGTTCAATTGGCCAAGAACTAGTAATTATACAAGTCATAAATATTATATACTTATCATATTCAGGAATCAAGGCATCAAGAATGCATATTATATAGTCACATAGCATAACCTACATGAATGCAAGTATATTAAGTAACTAACAGAGATGGAGATATAGACATACAGATATCCAAACCATCATCCCATGGGATATCTGTATGTAAGCTTTCTTTTCAAACTTTGCTTGCAATCCAAGAAACTAATCCTTTGATTGACTTTCTTTCATTTGTTCACTTGATTGCTCACTATTACAAATGAACACAATCACCATCAATCATCAAACAAACTTAACTTGGACTTTATGAATTCAACACTCTTACATTTTAATTTTGAATTCATAGGTGATTATACACATCATTAGTCCAACATTTTCAAGTATCAATTCATGTCAAAACACAAGTCTTTACCAATTTTACCACAAGTCAAGAATCATACCCTTAACTTACTTTACTTAACCCACCAACCTAAGGTAGGTATTTAGAACCTTGTAAAAGGCTCACAAGGTCATCAAAATGACTTACAAAGCATAAACTTAAGTTTAACATACTTCAAACCGTTAAAAATCTATAAACAAGATTCTGTCATCCATTTCATAATCACATCATTTCTTGCATTACTTTCCTAACTTGGCCAAAAATACACATAGAAATTAGGTCACCCTTTTAATAGTTTTCAACATTTTTCTTGGTAGTTTTAACAACACCAATCAATATCATGGCCTAAACCTCATCAAAATCCAACATACAAGACCATAGGAACTCAAAGAAAGTTCATAACATTCATGAAGACCAAAGCTTAAATCATGAATTCTAACCATAGGAATTAGAGCTTCATACCTTAAATCACCTCACAAATAGCTAGAAAATACTCTAGAACCTTTGAAC